GGCTGTGGTTGTTGTGGTGGTTGTGGTTGTAGGGACCTGGACCAGGCTAGTATGGAGGCTGTGGTTGTTGTGGTGGTTGTGGTTGTTGTTGTGGTTGTAGGGACCTGGACCAGGCTAGTATGGAGGCTGTGGTTGTGGTGATGGTTGTGGTGATGGTTGTGGTGGTTGTGATGGTTGTGGTGGTGGTTGTGATGGTTGTGGTGGTTGTGGTTGTAGGGACCTGGACCAGGCTAGTATGGAGGCTGTGGTTGTGGTGATGGTTGTGGTGATGGTTGTGGTGGTTGTGATGGTTGTGGTGGTGGTTGTGATGGTTGTGGTGGTTGTGGTTGTAGGGACCTGGACCAGGCTAGTATGGAGGCTGTGGTGGTGATGGTTGTGATGGTGGTGATTGTGTTTGTGATGGTTGTGGTGGTGGTGGTTGTTGTGGTGGTTGTTGTGATGGTTGTTGTTGTGGTTGTAGGGACCTGGACCAGGCTAGTATGGAGGCTGTGGTTGTTGTGGTGGTTGTGATGGTGATGGTTGTGTTTGTGATGGTTGTTGTTGTGGTTGTGGTTGTTGTGGTGATGGTTGTTGTGGTTGTTGTTGTGGTAGGGACCTGGACCAGGCTAGTATGGAGGCTGTGGTTGTTGTGGTGGTTGTGGTGGTGATGGTTGTGTTTGTGATGGTTGTTGTTGTGGTTGTGGTTGTTGTGGTGATGGTTGTTGTGGTGATGGTGGTTGTAGGGACCTGGACCAGGCTAGTATGGAGGCTGTGGTTGTTGTTGTTGTAGGGACCTGGACCAGGCTAGTATGGAGGCTGTGGTTGTTGTTGTTGTAGGGACCTGGACCAGGCTAGTATGGAGGCTGTGGTTGTTGTGGTGGTGGTTGTGATGGTTGTGGTGGTTGTGGTTGTAGGGACCTGGACCAGGTTAGTATGGAGGCTGTGGTTGTTGTGGTGGTTGTGGTGGTGATGGTTGTGTTTGTGATGGTTGTTGTTGTGGTTGTGGTTGTTGTGGTGATGGTTGTTGTGGTGATGGTGGTTGTAGGGACCTGGACCAGGCTAGTATGGAGGCTGTGGTTGTTGTTGTTGTAGGGACCTGGACCAGGCTAGTATGGAGGCTGTGGTTGTTGTGGTGGTGGTTGTGGTGGTTGTGGTTGTAGGGACCTGGACCAGGCTAGTATGGAGGCTGTGGTTGTGGTGATGGTTGTGGTGGTGGTTGTGGTTGTTGTGGTGATGGTTGTTGTGGTTGTTGTTGTGGTAGGGACCTGGACCAGGCTAGTATGGAGGCTGTGGTTGTTGTTGTTGTTGTAGGGACCTGGACCAGGCTAGTATGGAGGCTGTGGTTGTTGTGGTGGTGGTTGTGGTGGTGATGGTTGTTGTGGTTGTTGTGGTGGTTGTAGGGACCTGGACCAGGCTAGTATGGAGGCTGTGGTTGTTGTGGTGATGGTTGTGGTGGTGGTGGTTGTTGTGGTTGTTGTGGTGGTTGTAGGGACCTGGACCAGGCTAGTATGGAGGCTGTGGTTGTTGTTGTTGTTGTAGGGACCTGGACCAGGCTAGTATGGAGGCTGTGGTTGTTGTGGTGGTGGTTGTGGTGGTGATGGTTGTTGTGGTTGTTGTGGTGGTTGTAGGGACCTGGACCAGGCTAGTATGGAGGCTGTGGTTGTTGTGGTGGTGGTTGTGGTGGTGATGGTTGTTGTGGTTGTTGTGGTGGTTGTAGGGACCTGGACCAGGCTAGTATGGAGGCTGTGGTTGTTGTGGTGATGGTTGTGGTTGTTGTTGTGGTTGTAGGGACCTGGACCAGGCTAGTATGGAGGCTGTGGTTGTTGTGGTGATGGTTGTGGTGGTTGTGGTGGTTGTGGTTGTAGGGACCTGGACCAGGCTAGTATGGAGGCTGTGGTTGTTGTGGTGGTTGTGGTTGTAGGGACCTGGACCAGGCTAGTATGGAGGCTGTGGTTGTTGTGGTGGTTGTGGTTGTTGTTGTGGTTGTAGGGACCTGGACCAGGCTAGTATGGAGGCTGTGGTTGTGGTGATGGTTGTGGTGATGGTTGTGGTGGTTGTGATGGTTGTGGTGGTGGTTGTGATGGTTGTGGTGGTTGTGGTTGTAGGGACCTGGACCAGGCTAGTATGGAGGCTGTGGTTGTGGTGATGGTTGTGGTGATGGTTGTGGTGGTTGTGATGGTTGTGGTGGTGGTTGTGATGGTTGTGGTGGTTGTGGTTGTAGGGACCTGGACCAGGCTAGTATGGAGGCTGTGGTGGTGATGGTTGTGATGGTGGTGATTGTGTTTGTGATGGTTGTGGTGGTGGTGGTTGTTGTGGTGGTTGTTGTGATGGTTGTTGTGGTGGTTGTAGGGACCTGGACCAGGCTAGTATGGAGGCTGTGGTTGTTGTGGTGGTTGTGATGGTGATGGTTGTGTTTGTGATGGTTGTTGTTGTGGTTGTGGTTGTTGTGGTGATGGTTGTTGTGGTTGTTGTTGTGGTAGGGACCTGGACCAGGCTAGTATGGAGGCTGTGGTTGTTGTGGTGGTTGTGGTGGTGATGGTTGTGTTTGTGATGGTTGTTGTTGTGGTTGTGGTTGTTGTGGTGATGGTTGTTGTGGTGATGGTGGTTGTAGGGACCTGGACCAGGCTAGTATGGAGGCTGTGGTTGTTGTTGTTGTAGGGACCTGGACCAGGCTAGTATGGAGGCTGTGGTTGTTGTTGTTGTAGGGACCTGGACCAGGCTAGTATGGAGGCTGTGGTTGTTGTGGTGGTGGTTGTGATGGTTGTGGTGGTTGTGGTTGTAGGGACCTGGACCAGGTTAGTATGGAGGCTGTGGTTGTTGTGGTGGTTGTGGTGGTGATGGTTGTGTTTGTGATGGTTGTTGTTGTGGTTGTGGTTGTTGTGGTGATGGTTGTTGTGGTGATGGTGGTTGTAGGGACCTGGACCAGGCTAGTATGGAGGCTGTGGTTGTTGTTGTTGTAGGGACCTGGACCAGGCTAGTATGGAGGCTGTGGTTGTTGTTGTTGTAGGGACCTGGACCAGGCTAGTATGGAGGCTGTGGTTGTTGTGGTGGTGGTTGTGGTGGTTGTGGTTGTAGGGACCTGGACCAGGCTAGTATGGAGGCTGTGGTTGTGGTGATGGTTGTGGTGGTGGTTGTGGTTGTTGTGGTGGTTGTTGTTGTGGTTGTTGTTGTGGTAGGGACCTGGACCAGGCTAGTATGGAGGCTGTGGTTGTTGTGGTGATGGTTGTGGTAGGGACCTGGACCAGGCTAGTATGGAGGCTGTGGTTGTTGTGGTGATGGTTGTGGTGGTGGTGGTTGTTGTGGTTGTTGTGGTGGTTGTAGGGACCTGGACCAGGCTAGTATGGAGGCTGTGGTTGTTGTGGTGGTGGTTGTGGTGGTGATGGTTGTTGTGGTTGTTGTGGTGGTTGTAGGGACCTGGACCAGGCTAGTATGGAGGCTGTGGTTGTTGTTGTTGTTGTAGGGACCTGGACCAGGCTAGTATGGAGGCTGTGGTTGTTGTGGTGGTGGTTGTGGTGGTGATGGTTGTTGTGGTTGTTGTGGTGGTTGTAGGGACCTGGACCAGGCTAGTATGGAGGCTGTGGTTGTTGTGGTGGTGGTTGTGGTGGTGATGGTTGTTGTGGTTGTTGTGGTGGTTGTAGGGACCTGGACCAGGCTAGTATGGAGGCTGTGGTTGTTGTTGTTGTTGTAGGGACCTGGACCAGGCTAGTATGGAGGCTGTGGTTGTTGTGGTGGTGGTTGTGGTGGTGATGGTTGTTGTGGTTGTTGTGGTGGTTGTAGGGACCTGGACCAGGCTAGTATGGAGGCTGTGGTTGTTGTGGTGGTGGTTGTGGTGGTGATGGTTGTTGTGGTTGTTGTGGTGGTTGTAGGGACCTGGACCAGGCTAGTATGGAGGCTGTGGTTGTTGTGGTGATGGTTGTGGTTGTTGTTGTGGTTGTAGGGACCTGGACCAGGCTAGTATGGAGGCTGTGGTTGTTGTGGTGATGGTTGTGGTGATGGTTGTGGTTGTAGGGACCTGGACCAGGCTAGTATGGAGGCTGTGGTTGTTGTGGTGATGGTTGTGGTTGTTGTTGTGGTTGTAGGGACCTGGACCAGGCTAGTATGGAGGCTGTGGTTGTTGTGGTGGTTGTGGTGGTGATGGTTGTTGTTGTGGTTGTAGGGACCTGGACCAGGCTAGTATGGAGGCTGTGGTTGTTGTGGTGGTTGTGGTGGTGATGGTTGTTGTTGTGGTTGTAGGGACCTGGACCAGGCTAGTATGGAGGCTGTGGTTGTTGTGGTGGTTGTGGTGGTGATGGTTGTTGTTGTTGTGGTAGGGACCTGGACCAGGCTAGTATGGAGGCTGTGGTTGTTGTGGTGGTTGTGGTGGTGATGGTTGTTGTTGTGGTTGTAGGGACCTGGACCAGGCTAGTATGGAGGCTGTGGTTGTTGTGGTGGTTGTGGTGGTGATGGTTGTTGTTGTTGTGGTAGGGACCTGGACCAGGCTAGTATGGAGGCTGTGGTTGTGGTGGTGATGGTTGTGATGGTGATGGTTGTTGTGGTTGTTGTGGTGGTTGTAGGGACCTGGACCAGGCTAGTATGGAGGCTGTGGTTGTTGTGGTGGTTGTGGTGGTGATGGTTGTTGTTGTTGTGGTAGGGACCTGGACCAGGCTAGTATGGAGGCTGTGGTTGTGGTGGTGATGGTTGTGATGGTGATGGTTGTTGTGGTTGTTGTGGTGGTTGTAGGGACCTGGACCAGGCTAGTATGGAGGCTGTGGTTGTTGTGGTGGTTGTGGTGGTGATGGTTGTTGTTGTTGTGGTAGGGACCTGGACCAGGCTAGTATGGAGGCTGTGGTTGTGGTGGTGATGGTTGTGGTTGTTGTGGTTGTTGTGGTTGTTGTGGTGGTTGTAGGGACCTGGACCAGGCTAGTATGGAGGCTGTGGTTGTTGTGGTGATGGTGGTTGTGGTGGTGGTTGTAGGGACCTGGACCAGGCTAGTATGGAGGCTGTGGTTGTTGTGGTGATGGTGGTTGTGGTGGTGGTTGTAGGGACCTGGACCAGGCTAGTATGGAGGCTGTGGTTGCCCTCCTGGCTGGGCTTCCTCTCCAGCCGGAGGAGGGCGATGGTGGAGACCTCATGGAGGCCAAGTCACAGCTCTTCCTGAAGTACATAGACACAGACACACATAGACATACATAGAGACACATAGACATACACATAGAGACACACATAGACACATAGACACACATAGACATACACATAGAGACCTCATGGAGGCCAAGTCACAGCTCTTCCTAAAGTACATAGACACACATAGACACATAGACACACACATAGACACACATAGACACACATAGAGACACACATAGACATACATGGAGACCTCATGGAGGCCAAGTCACAGCTCTTCCTGAAGTACACACAGACACACAGAGACACATAGACACACACATAGACATACATAGAGACACATAGAGACACATAGACATACATAGACATACACATAGACATACATAGAGACACATAGAGACACATAGACATACATAGACATACACATAGACATACATAGAGACACATAGAGACACATAGAGACACACATAGACATACATAGACATACACATAGACATACATAGAGACACATAGAGACACATAGAGACACATAGACATACATAGAGACCTCATGGAGGCCAAGTCACAGCTCTTCCTAAAGTACACACAGAGACACATAGAGACACATAGACATACATAGACACACATAGACACACATAGACATACATAGAGACACACATAGAGACACGCATAGACATACATAGAGACACACATAGACATACACACAGACAGAGACATACATAGAGACACACATAGACATACATAGAGACACACACAGACAGAGACACATAGACATACATAGAGACACACATAGACATACATAGAGACACACACACAGACAGAGACACACAGACATGCATAGAGACACACATAGACACACAGAGACACACATAGACACACATAGAGACACATAGAGACACATAGACATACATAGAGACACACATAGAGACACAGAGACATACATAGAGACACACATAGAGACATACATTGAGACACACAGAGACACATAGAGACACATAGACATAGAGACAGAGAGACACATAGACACACATAGACATACATAGAGACACATAGAGATACATAGACATACATAGAGACACATAGAGACACATAGACATACATAGAGACAGAGAGACACATAGACACACATAGACATACATAGAGACACATAGAGATACATGGACATACATAGAGACACATAGACATACATAGAGACACACATAGACATACATAGAGATGCATAGACACATAGACATACATAGAGACACATAGAGACACAAAGAGACACATAGAAACACATAGACATACAGTGACCCATACATACATAGTGTCTGTGTGTGTGTGTATGTGTGTATCTGTGTGTGCCTGTGTGTGTCTGTGTGTGTCTGTGTGTGTCTGTGTGTGTCTGTGTGTTTCTGTGTGTGTCTGTGTGTGTCTGTGTGTGTCTGTGTGTCTGTGTGTTTGTGTATGTCTCTGTGTGTCTGTGTGTGTGTCTGTGTGTGTGTCTGTGTGTGTGTGTCTGTGTGTGTGTGTGTCTGTGTGTCTGTGTGTGTGTCTGTGTGTGTCTGTGTGTGTGTGTCTGTGTGTGTGGGAGACAAAGGCGGTCGGGCGTGGTACTGGCCACCCACCCCCTCGTGTACCGTTCCGGCCTTCATAGGTGCTCGCTAACAGCACTTGCCCCTACAGTCTGTTAAGGCTATACGGGGGATCTTTGTCTGTGTGTGTCTGTGTGAATCTCCATGCATCTCCCCCCTCCCCGCTACCCCCAGGTACTTCACGCTCTTCATGAACCTGCTCAATGACTGCAGTGAGGTGGAAGAGGATGGTGGTGGTGGTGGCGGTAGTGGCGGTGGCGGTGGTGGTGGCGGTGGTGGTGGTGGTGGTGGCGGTGGTGGTGGTGGTGGTGGCTGTAGTGGGCGCAAGCGAGGAATGTCTCGCCGGCTGGCATCACTGCGGAACTGTACCGTGCTTGCCATGTCCAACCTGCTCAACGCCAACGTGGACAGCGGGCTCATGCACTCCATCGGTAGCCGGCACGCTCGCTCACTCACTCAGCCTCTCGCTCACTCACTCAGCCATTCACTCAGCCACTCACTAAGCCTCTCGCTCAGCCACTCAGCCACTCACTCACTTACTCACTCATCCACTCACTCAGCCACTCACTCAGCCACTCACTCATCCACTCACTCATCCACTCACTCATTCACCCAGCCTCTCACTCACTCACTCATCCATTCACTCACTCATCCATTCACTCAGCCACTCAGCCACTCACTCATCCACTCACTCATCCATTCACTCATTCACCCATTCACTCACTCACTTACTCACTCATCCATTCACTCGCTCACTCACTCATCCATTCACTCGCTCATCCATTCACTCAGCCACTCACTCAGCCTCTCGCTCACTCACTCAGCCACTCACTCAGCCATTCACTCAGCCACTCAATCATCCATTCACTCACTCATCCACTCACTCACTCACTCAGCCACTCACTCAGCCACTCAGCCACTCATTCACTCACCCACCCACTCACTCATCCACTCACTCACTCACTTACCCACTCACTCACTCATCCATTCACTCACTCACCCAGCCTCTCACTCACTCACTCATCCATTCACCCAGCCACTCACTCACTCACCCACTTACCCACCCACCCACTCACTCACTCACCCACCCACCCCCTCACTCACTCACCCCCTCACTCACCCACCCACTCACCCACTCACCCACCCCCTCACTCACCCACTCACTCACTCACTCACCCACTCACCCACCCCCTCACTTACCCACTCACCCACCCCCTCACTCACCCACTCACCACTCACTCACTCACTCACCCCCTCACTCACTCACCCCCTCACTCACCCCCTCACTTACCCCCTCACCCACCCACCCACCCACCCTCTCACCCACCCACCCACCCACCCTCTCACCCACCCACCCTCTCACCCACCCACCCACCCTCTCACCCACCCACCCACCCACCCACCCTCTCACCCACCCACCCTCTCACCCACCCACCCACCCACCCACCCTCTCACCCACCCACCCACCCCCTCACCCACCCACCCACTCACCCACCCACCCACCCACTCACCCACCCACCCTCTCACCCACCCACCCACCCACTCACCCACCCCCTCACCCACCCCCTCACCCACCCACCCCCTCACTCACCCCCTCACTCACCCCCTCACTCACCCCCTCACTCACCCCCTCACCCACCCACCCACCCACCCCCTCACCCACCCACTCACCCACCCACCCTCTCACCCACCCACCCACCCACCCCCTCACCCACCCACCCACTCACCCACCCTCTCACCCACCCACCCACCCACTCACCCACCCCCTCACCCACCCACCCACCCACCCTCTCCACTGCTACCCTGCGTCTCCAGGCCTAGGCTACCACAAGGACCTCCAGACTCGCGCCACCTTCATGGAGGTGCTCACCAAGATCCTACAGCAGGGCACGGAGTTCGACACGCTGGCCGAGACGGTGCTGGCTGATCGCTTCGAGCGACTGGTGGAGCTCGTGACGATGATGGGAGACCAGGGGGAGCTGCCCATCGCCATGGCACTGGCTAACGTGGTGCCCTGCTCTCACTGGGTAGGGCTCGCTCACTCGCTCGCTCTCTCACTCGCTCGCTCAGTCACTCGCTCGCTCGCTCACTCACTCGCTCACTCACTGGTGGAGCTCGTGACGATGATGGGAGACCAGGGGGAGCTGCCCATCGCCATGGCACTGGCTAACGTGGTGCCCTGCTCTCACTGGGTAGGGCTCGCTCGCTCACTCACTCGCCCACTCGCTCGCTCGCTCGCTCGCTCAGTCACTCGCTCAGTCACTCGCTCAGTCACTTGCTCGCTCAGCCACTCGCTCAGTCACTCGCTCGCTCACTCACTCGTGACGATGATGGGAGACCAGGGGGAGCTGCCCATCGCCATGGCACTGGCTAACGTGGTGCCCTGCTCTCACTGGGTAGGGCTCGCTCGCTCACTCACTCGCCCACTCGCCCACTCGCTCGCTCGCTCAATCGCTCGCTCACTCACTCACTCACTCGTGACGATGATGGGAGACCAGGGGGAGCTGCCCATCGCCATGGCACTGGCTAACGTGGTGCCCTGCTCTCACTGGGTAGGGCTCGCTCGCTCACTCACCCACACGCTCACTCGCTCGCTCGGTCACTCACTCACTCACTCGCTCGGTCACTCACTCGCTCACTCACTCACTCACTCGCTGTCTCGCTCACTCGCTCGCTCACTCACTCACTCACTCGCTCGGTCACTCACTCGCTCACTCACTCACTCACTCGGTCACTCACACGCTCACTCGCTCGCTCTCCCACTCTCTCACTCGCTCACTCGGTCACTCACACGCTCGCTCAATTGCTCAATCACCGACTCGCTCGCTCGCTCAGTCACTCGCTCACTCACTCGCTCAATCACCGACTCGCTCACTCACTCACTCACTTGGTCACTCGCTCGCTCTCTCACTCGCTCACTCGCTGTCTCGCTCACTCGCTCGCTCTCTCACTCGCTCACTCGCTCGGTCACTCACTCGCTCACTCACTCACTCACTCGGTCACTCACACGCTCACTCGCTCGCTCTCCCACTCTCTCACTCGCTCACTCGGTCACTCGCTCGGTCACTCACTCGCTCGCTCAATTGCTCAATCACCGACACGCTCGCTCGCTCAGTCACTCGCTCACTCACTCACTCGCTCAGTCACTCGCTCACTCACTCACTCGCTCAATCACCGACTCGCTCACTCACTCACTCACTTGGTCACTCGCTCGCTCTCTCACTCGCTCACTCGCTGTCTCGCTCACTCGCTCGCTCTCTCACTCGCTCACTCGGTCACTCGCTCGGTCACTCACTCGCTCACTCACTCACTCACTCGGTCACTCACACGCTCACTCGCTCGCTCTCCCACTCTCTCACTCGCTCACTCGGTCACTCACACGCTCGCTCAATTGCTCAATCACCGACTCGCTCGCTCGCTCAGTCACTCGCTCACTCACTCACTCGCTCAATCACCGACTCGCTCACTCACTCACTCACTCACTTGGTCACTCGCTCGCTCTCTCACTCGCTCACTCGCTGTCTCGCTCACTCGCTCGCTCTCTCACTCGGTCACTCGCTCGGTCACTCACTCGCTCACTCACTCACTCACTCGGTCACTCACACGCTCACTCGCTCGCTCTCCCACTCTCTCACTCGCTCACTCGGTCACTCGCTCGGTCACTCACTCGCTCGCTCAATTGCTCAATCACCGACTCGCTCGCTCGCTCAGTCACTCGCTCACTCACTCACTCGCTCAGTCACTCGCTCACTCACTCACTCGCTCAATCACCGACTCGCTCACACACTCACTCACTTGGTCACTCGCTCGCTCTCTCACTCGCTCACTCGCTGTCTCGCTCACTCGCTCGCTCTCTCACTCGCTCACTCGGTCACTCGCTCGGTCACTCACTCGCTCACTCACTCACTCACTCGGTCACTCACACGCTCACTCGCTCGCTCTCCCACTCTCTCACTCGCTCACTCGGTCACTCACACGCTCGCTCAATTGCTCAATCACCGACTCGCTCGCTCGCTCAGTCACTCGCTCACTCACTCACTCGCTCAATCACCGACTCGCTCACTCACTCACTCACTTGGTCACTCGCTCGCTCTCTCACTCGCTCACTCGCTGTCTCGCTCACTCGCTCGCTCTCTCACTCGGTCACTCGCTCGGTCACTCACTCGCTCACTCACTCACTCACTCGGTCACTCACACGCTCACTCGCTCGCTCTCCCACTCTCTCACTCGCTCACTCGGTCACTCGCTCGGTCACTCACTCGCTCGCTCAATTGCTCAATCACCGACTCGCTCGCTCGCTCAGTCACTCGCTCACTCACTCACTCGCTCAGTCACTCGCTCACTCACTCACTCGCTCAATCACCGACTCGCTCACTCACTCACTCACTCACTTGGTCACTCGCTCGCTCTCTCACTCGCTCACTCGCTGTCTCGCTCACTCGCTCGCTCTCTCACTCGCTCACTCGGTCACTCGCTCGGTCACTCACTCGCTCACTCACTCACTCACTCGGTCACTCACACGCTCACTCGCTCGCTCTCCCACTCTCTCACTCGCTCACTCGGTCACTCACACGCTCGCTCAATTGCTCAATCACCGACTCGCTCGCTCGCTCAGTCACTCGCTCACTCACTCACTCGCTCAATCACCGACTCGCTCACTCACTCACTCACTTGGTCACTCGCTCGCTCTCTCACTCGCTCACTCGCTCACTCGCTGTCTCGCTCACTCGCTCGCTCGCTCACTCGGTCACTCGCTCGGTCACTCATTCGCTCACTCACTCACTCACTCGGTCACTCACACGCTCACTCGCTCGCTCTCCCACTCTCTCACTCGCTCACTCGGTCACTCACACGCTCGCTCAATTGCTCAATCACCGACTCGCTCGCTCGCTCAGTCACTCGCTCACTCACTCACTCGCTCAATCACCGACTCGCTCACTCACTCACTCACTCACTTGGTCACTCGCTCGCTCTCTCACTCGCTCACTCGCTCACTCGCTGTCTCGCTCACTCGCTCGCTCGCTCACTCGGTCACTCGCTCGGTCACTCACTCGCTCACTCACTCACTCACTCGGTCACTCACACGCTCACTCGCTCGCTCTCCCACTCTCTCACTCGCTCACTCGGTCACTCACACGCTCGCTCAATTGCTCAATCA